TCCTGGGGTCCTAATAGAACCACTAATGTTTCTCTGAATGCTTTCAATGCTTTCTATCCTTACTCTATTCTTCTCTGCTTAGCTCTTAACCATTATTCAAATGTAATGTCCTGGAAGCCTTTTATTAGTCCCCCAGATAAGAAATGATCACTCCTTCTTTTAACTTTCATATTTATACCATCAACTATAGCACATAAAAAGTTCTCTTTTAGCACCTGGCATATAGCAAATATTGAATAAATGCACACTTTATCATTAGAAAACATATCTTCTTAAATGTAGCCTTCTTGGTGGCAGAGACCTCCAGAAAGGCACTGTGCCTGGTTCAGCATGGCAATTCAAAGAAGCTTGACATATGAGCCAATTTCATAACCAATTCATCAGAAAAATCAGCTAGCAAATGGCCAGCAAGTATATGAAAAAATGTTCAACATCCCTAATAATCAGGGAAATGCAAATCAAAACTACAATGACATGCTACCTTGCACCAGTAAGAAAGGCACGTATCAAAAAAACTAGCAACAACAAATGTTGGTAAGGATATGGAGAAAATGGAACTTTCCTGAACTGCTGGTGGGAATGCAAACTGTTCCAACACTATGGAAAGCTGTGTGAGGTTCCTCAAACTACTAAAAATGGAGCTACCATATGACCCAGCAATTCCACTTCAAGGAATCTACCCAAAGGACACAAAAACATTAATTCAAAAGGATACCTGGGCCCTCCCCTGGTGGCGCAGCAGTTGAGCACTGGGCTGTGAAGCTTCCTGCAGCCTCTGCAGTGCTGGTTCAATTCCGGCTGCCAGCGAGGGTCCTACATAGCGCAACAGACCTCTCCTGTCTCGCCCACTGCTTCCCTCAGCAGTGTATTTCGTCAGTCTGCCTGTTCTGTTCCCCAGTCTGGCTCTGGTGAATTCTCTCACCTTCCCATGCTTCTGACTGTATCCAGTGCTTGTATAAATAAATAATAAATCTTTAAAAATAAACAACAACAAAAAAAGGATACCTACACCCCTTTGTTTACTGCTGCACTATTTACAATAGGTAACATATGGAAACAACCCAAATGCCCAAAAATAGATGACTGGATCAAAAAGATGTGGTATAGGGCCTCATTGGTGGTGCAGGGGTTAAGTCTCAGCACTATCAAGCTATTGCCAGCCACTGCAGTATGACTTCAATCCCCAGTCAGGGAAGTAACCCACATGGCACAGCAGACCTCTCCTGTCTCACCCACTGCTCCCCTCAGCAGTGTATTTCAGTAGATCTACCTGTTCTGCTCCCCACTGTCTCTGTTGAATCCTCTCACCCCACATACTTCTGGACTAGACCCCAGTTCTTGTACACACAAATAAATAACATTAAAAAAAAAAAGAATGTGGTATATATACACAATGGAATGCTATTCAGCAATCAAAAAAGATAAACTCATGCCATTCGCAGCAGCACAGATAGAGATAGAAGAGATAATGCTCAGTGAAATAAGTCAGAAGAAAAAAGAAAAATATTGGAGGTTTCACTTATAGGAGGACTACAGGGGAACCAAATAAGGGATCAGGGGAAAAATAATAACAATAAAAAAAAGTTAACAGGCAACTATAAATCAGAGACATTCTTCAGGGGAAGCAGGGAAGAAGAATCAACAAGGGACTATGGTGATGGTGCACGGGTGAATTGACGGTGGGAATTCTATGGGGACTACACCTGAGAGAAGAAAGCAAACATTGTACAAAAATGAACAATGATGTAAAATATATATATGTAAATAAATTATTTTCAAAAAAAAGAAAAGAAGCTATAAAAAAAATCAGCTACCATATGATATTATTAGTGGTTCTAGTAAAAGGCAGGTATTATTAAAAATTTTGATAAAAACAAATATAAAACATAATCCATAATTATTAAATATTATTTATACAAATTATTTACATCATAAGTAAAAATTGTTCTCCCATTGGCAGTGTTTCTTATTTACATCTCTGATAAACAAAAAAAAAAAAAAAAAAAAAAAAAGGTAGACTTTGTATTATCCTTGCACTCTTTGGGGGAAGTTATTTTGCTTGAAAATAATTTTTAAGGACCTCCCTGGTGGCGCAGCGGTTGAGTACTGGCCTGCGAAGCTGCCCACAGCCTCTACAGCACCGGTTCAATCCCCAGCCACCGGCGAGGGTCCCACATGGAGCGCAGACCTCTCCTGCCGCCCGCTGCTCCCCTCAGCAGTGTACTTTGGTCCTTCTGCCTGTTCTGTTCCCAGCTCTGACTCTGGTGAATTCTCTCACCCTCCCGCGCTTCTGACTGTACCCAGTGCGTGTATAAATAAATAAATAAATCTTTAAAAAAAAAAAAAAAAGAAATAATTTTTAAGCTAACAAAGTTTGTATAATTATATTTTACTCAAAAGGTACCCACAATTTATTTATTTTAAAGATTTATTTATTTATGCATACAAGAGCTAGGGTACAGGCCAGAGGTGTGGGGCGTGAGAGGATTCACCAGAGACAGAATGGGAAACAGAACAGGCAGATGGACTGAAGCACACTGCTGAGGGGAGCAGCAGATGAGTCAGGAGAGGTCTGCTGCGCCATGTGGGTTGCTCCCTGGCCGGCAGGGGGATTGAACTCATGCTGCAGAGGCTGGGGAGAGCTTCTTAGGTTGCATCTTAACCCCTTGCGCCACCATGGAGGCCCAAGAGACCCACAATTTAATAAACAACTAGCAAGTGCACGTACCCATCAGAAACCCTAAGCCTTACATACAATTAAAGCTCATTTAAAGACCTAAACTAGCTATATGACAATGGCCATGTCAACATAGCTTTGAGCCTCAGGTGATTAAAAGACAAAATATGGAAAAAGAATTTTACTTACCACAACATATGAGGTTCACAGAGGTATGGTACTTTATTAAAAACATATGGATTCAATTTACTATGGCCTGCTAATTCACTCAACAAACATCTGTAACTATGTTTAGGCCTATCTACAGAGCCAGGCTCAGGCTGCACACAGCCAAGCAAATTGCTCTCTCTGCCCATAGGCGCTTCACCCCAGGCTGGGGAGATAGACATGTAAACAGCAGGCAGAAAATGGCAGAAACAGACAATATGCAATGAGCAGTGCTCCGTTCTGTCTGGAGAAAAGGAAGGTAGTAAGGAAAGGCTTCACCAAGGGGGCCTCTGATGGTCTCTCCAGTCATCGTGAACACTCCCTCTTTTCCTTATTCTTGAATCAAGTTGTCTCTGTCTCTTTACAGATCCATAGTTTCTTATCTACAGTTCTAAAATCTGAAAAGCTCTCAAAACCTAAACTTTTCCCCTAACTTATTTGGTGGAAAAATCTGAGCTGATATAATATGGTCATCAATATTTTTCCTACTTATTGCAAATGATAGTTAATAATTTCATCATACACCCACCACCAAAGCCAGGGCCTAAGTCACCCTTGTTTTTTTTTTCTCTTTCTCACCTTCCAAATCCAACTGGCCACAAAGTTCTCTCAATTCTAAGAAGTATCCTATCTATTATCACCCACCCCCATCACTGCCTCAGTTCACAGCGAAAGGGTACATACCACAGTGCAACCCCACATCATGGCTACCGTGATTCTCTCCAGGGCTATTTGATCATACAGTTTCCTTGTTTAGAATACTCTGAAATCTCTGTACTACCTAATGGAAAAGCTCAAATTCCTGAGCATGGTAGAAAAGGTGCCAAGAATGGGTCACTGCCTACTTCTTGTGATTGGTCTTCTGGCATTTTATTAACCATGCATTAAAGCCACACAGAAATGTGGTCCCCAAGAGGTACCAATCACACAAACTTTCCCTCTGCCCAGAAATCCTTTCTTTGTCCATTTCACTTTCACTTCTGTTTGGCTGCTAGGCTTACTTATCCTTCAGGATTCAATGTAGAAAATTCCTCCATACAGAATTTTCAGTGAGCAAATTCCTCCATACAGAAAATTCCTCCTGTTTACATTCTTCCCTCTCCCCATTTCAAGCAACACTGATGGCTGCTCTTCCTTCATATATTTCTGGACACAACCTTAATAAATATGTGGCCAGCAGACTGAGTATCCTAGCATATGTCATGGCCATTGCTATTCCTGGTTCTAAATACTAGATCAGCCCACTGTCGGTGCTCAAAACCAGTGGGCTGAAGAGCAATCTGCTCAACTTGCCCAGGCAAAGTTGTAGCCCAAACTCCCTCCTTATAGGCTCTCCTCCTACGGCAGCTGTCTTCATCCCCTTACACTGTTTTTCCATTATTTTTTCTAATTGACATTCTTTTTCCTCCTTCATTGTCAGAAGAGAAAGAAGCAGTGTTTGGAGAGTAACAAAATTCCTCAGTGGCACTAGTGATATTTGAGGCAAGATAGTTCTTTGTGGTGGGGGTCTGTCCTGTACATTTTAGGGTGTTTAGCAGCACCCCTAGTCTCTACCCATAAGGCCTTACTGCCACCCTCCTGCAGCTGTGACAAATAAAATGTTCTGATATGTTGCCAAATATCCTGAGGGGTGAAATCTCTAGATTGAGAAGCCTAAACCAACTTTTCTTGGGCATCTCGGGAAACAGTATGGCAAATTCAGTCAATGATTTCTGCCCCACCCAGTCTCTATGTGACAATCCTGAGGGGAGATTCAGATTCCATCAGGTGTACTGTTCTGGGGAGTACATGACTAAAACAAGTAGGCTGGAGTGACACTGACAGGGAAGGTGAGATTCAAGGGGGCCAAGATGAATCCATTTTGTTACAGTCCTAGAATTCCAGGGCTCAGGATTCTTTGGAATTAATTTTTCCTGAGCTTGACTTACTCAGTGGCATTGAAATGACCAACTAGAGAACACCCAAAGCAAAACAGAGAGAATACCCAAAAGTGAAATAAACTGACTAAAGCATTTAGCCACAAATAAGAGAGGAGGAACAGTGGTGTCCTCCAAAAGCAGAAGAAAAGAGAATGTCATGAGAAAGCTAAAGAATGGGACCCTGACCCAGTACCCACCTGTGGTTGACACGACGTTGTCAGGGCTTTCACTGCAGAGCTTCGATAACAGACTGGTCTTGCCAGAGCCTGTGAGGCCTATGCAAACCAAGTCATATTCTGGTCGTGCAGGAGGTGGTCCCTTGCAGCAGAGTGCTCTGAAACACTGCCAAGAAAGGGGGGGAAATGCAACTTTTAAAAATAAGACTGTGGACATAAAGTTTAGTAACATTTAAAATGGCTAACCATTTAAATGGTTATAAGTATCCTTATAACCTACACGTTATAAGGATAAAGGTAACATTAGGGTGGACAAACCAGAGGACATCAACTTAACCAAGTGATCAAAATTAACATCCCGAGGCCCGAGACATTCAGGCAAATCTCATTTAATGGGCTTCACTTTATTGTGCTCCAGTGATACTGGGTTTTTACAAATGAAAGATAAAACCAGCAACCTGTGCCAGGCAAGTCTATGGGTGCCATTCTTCAACAGCAGGTGTTCACTCTAAGTCTCTATGTCACATTTAATTAGGTATGTATGTACATTTTTTCAGACACATGTTATTGCACATTTAATAGACTGCAGTGTAGTGTAACTATAACTTTTATGTACACTGAGGGACCAAAAATGTTGAGTGACTCACTTTATTGTGCTGCTAGCTTTATTGTGGTCAACTGGAATTGAACCCACAACATCTCTGAGGTGTATCTATATGGGCTTCATGCCTCTCCTCCTGCTGTGACAGGTGTTCCACAAGGGACCTGACGTCATTACACAGCCTTCCTGCCCAAAATCCACAATCTGAAGCTAAGCACCAGGGAACTTCAGGCCAAACCACCATGAGAAGCATTCTGCATGACAACTGGCCTGTTCGCCTCTAAAATCTCAATGTCTGGAGAGTCAAAGAAACGCTGAGGAACTGTTCCAGGTTAGAGAAGCCTAAAACAACATGATAATGAAATGCAGTGCCTTCTGGATTGGCTCCTGGATCAGGTTGGAAAAAGTGCCATAAATGAAATTATTGGGATGACAGGTGGGTGAGAGCTGAAAAGAGACTGCATAAGGTTAAATTTGCTGGAGTCGATCATTATACTATGTTATGTAAGGAATGTCATTGTTTTTATAAAACATACACTTCAGTATCTAGAGGTGGAAGGATGCCTGCAATTAACTGGCTAAGAAGAATTCTAAATCTCTACCTGCACTGCCATCTCCATGTCTATAGGATGAGGAGTGTCATAAAGCAAGCGTGGCAGAATGTTAACAACTGGTATGGCTAAAGAAGAGCCTCTGGAAAATTCTTAGTATTTATCTTACAACTCTTTGATATTATCTCAAAATAAAAAGCTTTTAAAAATCATTAAGTAGAGTCCCTGTGTATATCACTCCCATCTTGACCTTTGCTAAGTGCTGCTTCAGATCAGCTGACCTCAGGGTACTAGGAACTGTCACGTGGCATGTGCACTGCATGAACCAGAGCACCCTATAGGAGTGAATGGCAAGGGCATTTGGGAGATTGGAAATCATCCGTGCAGTTTTTGATCTTTTTTACTTATTTGACATCCATTTATTAGGAGCCAACTATGTGCCAACTGGTAGAGCCGGAAATACTTAAGCCCTGAATAATTCAAGAGAGAAAGAAAAAGGGAGAGGGTGGGACAGAGAGGCAGACAGACTACTGACTTCTAGGTCATGTGGAGATCATGAGAGAAGACCTATAAAAAGCCTGTGCTAATTCTTCTCACTGAGATAAAATCTGAGGCCTAATTGGCTGTCCTCCTTTCATAAATCAAGCTTGATTATTTCTCTCCCCCACTTCTCAAACCTAGTTAGTCAAGAAATCCATTCCATACAACCTCTGAAATGGAATATGACCACATCTCTCTAGCCCAGGCCACCATTACCTGTATAATATCAACATTCTCCACTGGTTCCAGCACCTTTACTCATGTTCTCGTGGGCCACATGGCAGCCACTGTGACTGGTTATAAAAATAAAATCTGATCATACCTACTTAACCTCTTTCAGTGACTCTCCACTACTCGGGTAAGAACCTTTCTCATGGTCTACAATGCTTCCCATGACCTACTCACCAACCTCCAGCCTCATGTCTACCAATCTCCTCTCTGATGCCCTGCTCATGCCCCCCCTTCCAGTCAAGAAAACCCTCTCACACCTAAAGGCATTCGACATATGCTGTTCCCTCTTCCCCCAGCTCCTGACTTAGCTAACTTCTCATCAGCTTTCAGCTCTCAAGTAAAGCAGCTCTTCCCTTGGGCCCTCCTGCTCTAATCCTAAGTGTGCGTTAGCAATTCGGGTCAAATTCTCACAGCACATTTGTGAATTTATCACACAGACAATTTGTTTCTTTTCCTCACTGGACTGTGGGAACCATGTGTGTCCAGTTTCATCCCAGTATGACCAGTGCTTAGCAGAGAATGTGGCCTGGAATCTACCCCCAGTGAATAAATGTTGAATGAAGAATGAATGACATTTAAATTTCACCCAAGAAAAGAAAAAAAAAAAAAAAAAGGCTAATAGGAAACTTGATCGGTCCTCTGTGTGGGCCCCCCATGCTTCAAGAAAACAGTGCCAAAATAAGAAAATCCCTTGTCTCTTTCACTTCACTTCAGTGTCAAAAAGTCAGCCCAGTTCTAAGAGTGATCTTGTTGTATGGGATCTTCTTTTTCAGTATGCTAAGAGCTTCTCCTTGTCCTAAATTCACTTTAAATTGCCTTTTAAGAAGTTCTGCCTACTTCTGGTAAACAATTCTACGATCATCTAACTCATATTCCTCTCAGATTTATTAAACTCTAATCATATTTCCTCTCAGTCTTTTCAAGCCCGAGGAGTCCTAATTATTTCAGTCTGCCTTCCTATAGCAACCCCTCCCACTCCTTCATCATATTATTTGCTCTTCTTTGGCCTTACTTGAGTTCCATTATGCTTTCTCCTGCAAGATTAATGACCACAACTATAAACAGCATTTTAGATGCCAACACATTGCATCCTGGATTTGTAGGAAGGTTTTCCTGATATTGTTTAGTTTTTTTTTTTCGCAAATGTTCTCTTATCCTTGAGTTCCCTTGACTCATGATGAGACATTTTCTAAGAGGCAGATTGTGTGCGTGTGTGCACATGTACACATGCATTCCCTCAAAACCACCACTGGCTAGCAGCTATTCACGTAGGAAAGCTCTGCCAGGTTCAACTGTATCAGGCAAAGCCATTAATCACACAGTGGTTTCTCTTACTGCACCACATTCATCTTTGTATGTATGGGTGGGGATGGGGGGGTATAGAAGGACCCCATTCCTGCACTGGAGATCCCCCTTTTTTCTCAGCCACTCCCCTGGACTATCTCCTAGAGGAAGACTCTAAAGGAAAGCAAAAGTTCCAAAATTTACAAAAATGACATCTTTTTGCTCTTTTTAAAAATCCAGAGTGTAAAATCGTTGCAACCAAGCCTACTATTTATGTCACCTGCTCATTTATTCTAGGTTACTCAAGACTTCTGATCTAACAGGTAATTCAGCAGTGACATTCTGCTCTGCTCCATTCTTTAATCTCCTCTCTGTATTCCCCCAGTGATCTCATGTCCATGCCCTAGCTCCAATCATGCAGAGGTAAAGGTACCAAACATGACATCTCCTTAGGTCCCGATCTCTTACCTGAATTTCAGACTCTGTATTCCCAACCCTATGGGAAGAACTCAAACTAAATCTGAATAAAACCACAGTACAGCCCCCAAAACCACAGGCTATGGAAATAAGGTACTTTCAAAGATAAGGAGCATAAAGACTAGATTTTCAATGATCATTAGGCAGAATTTTTGAAATAAATCACCACATCCTTGAATATTTATTTAAAATAAATAAATCCTATGGATAATAAATAGTGTCAGATTTTGAGCCAACCAAATAAGACTTTTGAGAATATACTATTTCAAATGGAAGAAGAATGTTTATGTTTTTGAATCTGTTCCTAAAAACTATACATAGTTTTCACTTGCTTTTTGTTTTAAAACTTAATGAAGCTTTGGATCTCATAGTCAATTTACTTAAAATTACTCATTTTGGCCTTTAGACTAACTATACTGTACCAAAGTTCATTGTGTTTGTCTCCTAAAGCGGCTCTAGCATTGTTGAGAGTAAGCCCCTTTCACTGTTGTACAAAGCTAAACACAATGCTGTCGGCAGTCCTGACAGCAAGCGGCCAACTCGGGCTTCATTCCCAGGCCAGACACTAAGGCATTGTGTAACTGTTCAGGCCCCATAAACCTAGCCATGCTTCAGTCTCCCCATGATTAACCAGTAACGTTTTAACACTATCTGCCACTTCCTTTCTTCAGGAGATTGTTAAAGGCATCAGCTCAGTGTATTATGCGATGAGATAGGCACCATATGGGTAAAAACGGTTCATCATGATGCTCATTTTCCTAAGGCATCTTAAATGATAGTGAGCTTCCTTGGGCAGAGGCTGGCAGCACATCACACACCCCAGACCGGGGTACACCCCCTTCCAGTGGCCAATAGCAGCCTCCACATGTTCCATCCCATGCCAGTTCAACTCAAGACACCAAAGGCACCCAACCCACTGCAGTAAGTTACAGCAAGGAACAGAAAACAGAGGAAGTTTGCATCAAACCTATGGGGGTTTAGGGGAGGGCACACATCCAAGGTCATGGTTTCTGTTGCTTAGACTGTTTCAGTTCACAAGTCTTTTCATTGGGTCAGCTATGGCTTGTTGCTTTTCAAAAGCACTCAGTATATCTCTCTTATTATGTCAGGACACAGGATGTTTCTTCCATATGCCCACGCTGTATGGGAGGAAACGGTGTGCCAAGTTCTTGGGAAAGGGCAAAGACCAAAATCACCAGTAATAACTCTACGCTGTAGACTATGGAAAAAAATCAAACAATCTTTAGCTGAAAAGTGGATTAACTAAAGAGCATAAGCAAAATCCTTAAGGAATATTTGCCTGAAGGCAGGTGATCATAAGCTTTAGGAAAATAAAATAAGCAAAAGATTAAATTGCCAGGGTAAAATGAGGACTTGCATTTCAGTCTGGTGGCCCAGCACCAAGGCAGCAACAGTGTCTTAAAATGTCCCCGTTTCTGTTAGAGAGAGTGCCAGACATTTGGCAGGTCTTGCAGAGGACTA